CGACTCAAGGAAATCTGTGGGTACTTACCAGATACATTTGGCTCCAGTGGCGGCAGGTTAATGGAGAAGGGAAAAGGGAAATAGGTGGATTTGTAGGTAATATACAATGTTTAAGTCTGAGCTGGTCAGGCAATGCTAAGAAATGTTTACAGAATCAATGAAAAAACAAGGATAGTCAGGGCTACCACCCAGCAATATAAATACAAAATTCCTATTACTCAAGTCAAAAGTTGTCAGTAAAGAAATTGACTGTGTAGACAGAATCCCTATTTGACATAAGTAAACCTCTTATCAATATCACCCCTCCTCCACTTATCCAATAGGGCCCTTTCTTCCTTGCTTGTCTTTTACACCCTGGTTACTTTTAAATTTGTGCCCTGCAATGCTGCCAGTATTCTGTGCACCTTACAGACTATTTAACCTGAAATGTTCCTCCTGTGGTTGTGGTTCATCAGGACCCTACTGTAGTCTGCTGGTTGGAAAGCTAAGATTAAAGGTATAAATGCATTGATAATCTTTGAATTTAACAGAGGTTGCAAAACTAAAATGATATTTAGTTCTATGAAGTCATTTTGCTTCCCACATGCATACAATATCACAGTTTGGAAAAAAATTAAATTATATCCCTTCAAATAGCTTCAAATGCGTTTACATGTCTTAGGTCCATTTAATGGCATGCATAATAATATTCCTAAAAAGTTATTTAGCAACAGGTAAAGAGATGTATTTGACTTTCGCTAATGAGTCTGGCATGCTTAAGACACTAAACTTTTAAGAAAAGCTCTAATCAAAATTAATCTGCCATTCAAATCTGCTTTGGAAAAGAAATGAAAGCAATAGCTTTCATGAATTTTTAAAAGATAAATATATTAAGCCAAGGTTGTCATTTAAATTCAAATCCCTATTTCTGAGTATGATGCATGATTAAAAGGCATTACAATTAATGGAAAATATAAGCAAATGTTAATATACTTTAATACAGCATTAAAAAGAAAAAAAAAAAAAAAAAAGGGCAGTGGAAACCTGAGTAAAAAGAAGCCAGGAAGCAGCTGAAAAAGAGACCGGTTCACTGTGAGAAATGTAAACCTCTCAGACAGTGCTACGGCCCCGAATCCAACAGCTCAGGAACAAGGCCAATTATTGCAAAATATTCAACATATATGGTGAAGCTGCAAACTTTTCAAAAGAGTCATAAGAATGAAAGCAGCTGCATAGAAAACAGCCAGGCCTCATAAACCTAAAATCTTTGCTACAATTACTACCTGCAGGAAAAGTTTCTTTATAGTATACCAAGCTTCTTATATGTAGTATACTTCATAGTATTCAAGCTGTAAATTTTATGATAAAGGGTTAAGATAACAAATCCATATTACTGCAGCTGGCAAGTAACCAGATCTTTTGAAATCTTTGCTTGTATGGCTCCAGTTTTGACAGTATGTCACTAAAGCTACTGCACACCAGTTCTCCAATGTTCCACCTTTCTGAACTAGAAATGACTCACATAAGACAGACACACAGAATCATGGAATTTTAGAGTACAGAGAGGCTTCAATAGACGATACAGTAAAACTCCTTTACTTTGCAAGTGAGTAAATGGAAACCCGGAGGCTTTAAGTGATACACCTAACACCACTTAAATACAAATAAGGGTTGTCAGGATTTGACTCCTATTTTGTTTTCTTTCATGTTATATAATACATTGTCCAAAAGGCCTTATGTAGCCAGAATTTCTTCTGCTTCTGTTGACAGGGGCTGACTCAACCTTGTTTTAATGACCATAGTAGTTTCACATTCATAACAAAGGATTTGTACATTTATTCCCCAGCAGTAATGTTAGTACTGATTTCAGTTCAGTCCCCATAATAGATGGGTTTATTGTCAAGGAGATCAACAACTACTGCAGTTCTCTGGTACACACTTGCATGGAAGACCAAAGGCATTTTATCCTTGAGATATTTCCCCCAAAGGGAAAATAACAAAAAATCCTATATTTCTATTGCCCATACCCTACCTGATCTAAGAATATTTGATTCAATTGGGTTTGTTAATTTAGGGCGAAATTTCTTTAGATTCATATACGAACATTTAAGAATTATATTTTTGTATGTACCTCAGTGAAAAAAAATTGTTCCAAGTCTATAAATGCTTTCATCATTTGGCTGAATTATTAGTTTCAGCCTTTTATGTAATAAAACATATTACATTGACTAAATGTTATTTGACAAGAAAAAGAAAAGCAAGGGATGTAACAAATTATTTCTAATTTTAATCAGATGGGGATGGTGGAATGTAGAGAAATATTACAAGGAAAAAAAATAAAAAATGAAATCCAAAAAGTATGATGTTTGCATATAAAAATGTAAATTACTGAGAAAGAAACTGCTATAAATCTGTACAGAAAATCAGAACAAAAAGTTCCTGTGTCCATTTCCCAGTGCATTTCACTTTTCTGTTAGGAGATACACAAACATAAATGCACATTTTTTCTGTCAAGTTTGACATAAAAAATAACCATTGGCTAACAATAAAAAAATCTTTAGATTATATAATCATCCAACTCCTACTAATTCTACAAAAAGGTTCAGTATAATTACCAACACGATATGTGGCACTGGCACAACTGAACTTTTTCTTTAAAGGGAAATTTTCTCTTCTACTTATTAGCATAACAGCATTTCTTTCGCTTTCATGTAAGGGTGCTCTGAGGACTTATTTCTCTTCTATTCTTCAAACTGAATGACATGAAACCAACTCTAGTTATCAAGTGCTATATTATGACTGACTCTTTTTTTTTTTTGCGATACACGGGCCTCTCACTGTTGTGGCCTCTCCCGTTGCGGAGTACAGGCTCCGGATGCGCAGGCTCAGCAGCCATGGCTCACGGGCCCAGCCGCTCCGCGGCATGTGGGATCTTCCCCGACCGGGGCACGAACCCATGTCCCCCTGCATCGGCAGGCGGACTCTCAACCACTGCGCCACCAGGGAAGCCCATGACTGACGCTTAAGAGTCAAACACAATGTCAAAAGTCATTCAGACACATGCACTTTTCTGTGCCTGTACTGTCTAGATGCAATCTGACTTACTGTTTCCTTCCTTCTCACCATAACCAGCATTAGGAAAAACCCCACAATTGAAACATCACTGATGACAAACATATGCCATCTGTCATGTAGATATTTTGGCCCTGAATTAGGAGGCGTAGCATTTACAGTTGCTGTCCGTTAAGTGGGAATATTTTTGAAAGAGAGACATTTGCATGAGCACACTGGTCCTACCTGTGATTAAAAGCTTTAATTTTGTAGGCAGTTTGACAATGGAGAGGAATAAAAATTTTGCCATGAAAAAGAACAGAACTAAGAAGCCCACACAAATACAGAACAGTTTCTTTGCCTGCCTCATTAATAGGGTGTACTAATGAACTAATAAGTTAATTAGTCACACGCAAGATATTTGAATGGGGAAAGTTAAGACAAATTTTTTTTTTATTATCATAACATTAGCTGTAATCTGTATTGTAATTTTGGAAGAAAAAAATCATGACAATTATGATATGAAAAGTCAGTCATGGAGGCCCAGGAAAACTTAGGAAATAATTTCTATTAGAATAAAACAACAATGTATTTAAAGTTAGTGAGCAGTGTCATCACCAATGTGCCCAGGTATAAAGGACAGCTTCTGATGCCTTTCAAAATTAGAGAATATACTAGTTTAGGTTATTTGAAATGGAATGTATTATTAAAGTTTAGGAACAGAGGACAAATTCTAAGTTGGCCAAAATGACCATTGTATACACTCAACATCCTTTGGAAGAACATTTGTCACACACATACAATACAAGGCCAGTAACATGAGAAAGGGAAAAATCTACACATTAAGTACAAGACAACTCCTGAGAGCAAGACTGAGGACCTGGAGGTTACCCTGCTGGGGAGTTATAAATAAGAGTAATATCTGTTAAAGGAAGTTGATGAGTCACAATGATGAATGAAGACTGCACAAGTGAGGAGAGGCAAGAACACTTCTCATCAGACCGCCCAGTGCAGATGTCTTTCTCCTGAAACTGTGGAACCCCTCAAGAGTTCCACACATTATCAAGAGCAAGAAACTGTGTAAGTAGAGGTGGAGGGTTATGTGGCCTCACCTAATCATGCTGACATAGTCTGAGCACCTTCAAACGGCAACAAGCAGCTAAAAAGGATTCAAAGAAACCAATAAAAATTCTCCTTCAACACCTAGAGTTATAAAAGGCTGAAAATAATACCTTATTAAACATCTGGGGCAGAAGTACACATGTAGGTGGGAAGCATAGAGAGGAATGAGTTCAGTCAAATTAGTAAGGTAGCTTTTATACTGAGAATCACAGTTGTTTCCACGGAATGCTTAAAGAAAATTTGAAAGAGGCAAAAGAAAAACTATCTTTTCAGTTCTAATATGTTTGATATGCTTAGGATTAGACTGCATTTGGTTTAAAAATACCTTTCACTATACAACCACAAAAACAAAACACAAAAAAGACGTGTAAGAACTTCATTCCTTTTAAGGCACTCCTGCGGAGACTAAGACATCAAAATATCTTCACTAGGCTAGAGTTCTCAACCAAAGTTAGGTCATTCTGGTCCTTGATTTTGGTTAGCTGTTCAGCAGACTTCTTAACTTGCCTTGTCTGCCTTTTGCTGTTTACCACAGGTCGATTACCAGGCTGTAGAGGAGGCTTCAGCTACAATGGCAGTGAGTACCTGGAAGCTGCTCACCTGGTACAATCTTCTCATTATGGCTTCCAACTCTTCAGTATAGAAACCTGACACTGTGGTATTCCCTGGAGTGTGCTAAGATCGGCCCACTCTTTTCATCTCACTGGTTTGCATATTCATAGGTATGCACCTATCTGAAACCTTTGACAGACTGAGTGTGGCAGTATCTTAACAGTAAGACTGAAATAAAAGCAGGATGAAAAAACAGCAATACCGAGAGCTAAGAATTCCTAACCTCACATACTCACCTGCCTGCTGTGCAGGCTGTGGCAGTGGTTGGTTTAGATGTGAACTGTAATGGACAGAAGGGACTGGGCGATACTGAGGTTGACTGGAGTGGTAGTGGCCTGGAGCACAATAACAGGCTGGCATCTAGGATAAGCATTAAGGAAAAAAGAAAAAAATCAATTTTACTTGCAGCAGAATTTTTTTTTTCCTGCCAGAAACATTGGAGTGTAATGAGTAATAATTCTCCCAAATAGTAATCATCTGAAAACTGATTTTCTTAGCTTTAAATTTACCTGAAAATTTTTTTTTTTAATTTCAAACATATAGTATACATAACAAAACACACCTACCAATTTGCCCACCGATCAGATTTAGTAGATTTAAATTTTGGGGCCATATTTGTTTCAGATTTTTCTCTTTTACCAAGTACTACTGAAATAGCTAAGGCTCACTCCAACATTCCTTTGCTCTATATTCCATAGAAAAAGCATTATCCTGAAGTTGGTTTATATCATTCCCATAAATGTTTTTAAGCTTCTAGTGTGTGTGTAATGTTATCCATACATACAATTGTTGAGAATTTTAAAAGTGTACATTTATGGTACTCTATATAACTTCATGCAACTTATTTTGCAATTAACATTGTTTTTGAGACTCATTTTGGTTGAAGCACAAATCCCTAGCTCATTCAATTTAACTGCCGAACAGCAATCACCACATAAATAAGCCAGTTTATCCACTCCTACACTAATGCACACTTGCACTGGTTCCATTCTTTAATTTTTCTCATATTTCTAATGCAAATTAAAATGCCAATACAAATTTTATTTGTCAATTATACTTAATAAAGCTGGAAAAATGCCAATAAGACTATCTTGCTTTAGTTTTCCCTCCAGAGCTATCTGTATCAGCTGTGAATTTCTCTAAAAGTAATCTGATCTGGTTTGGGGTGAAGAATAAACAATTAATCCAGTGATATGGAAGTACGTGTTAACTTTATTAGGTTCACGGCTTCTCTTAGGTTCTGCTTATCTGATTGGGTTACTTCTAAAAGACCAGAGATCTGTGGAAATCTTAAAGAGTGCCCATTTCATCTGGAAACCAGCCAAGCACAGAATTCCTGGATCAGTTGTAAGTCAAGAGTCGCCTAAATTTTCTGTAATATTCTTCTGTTTTTGAAACATTAGACACAATATACATGTGATCCCTTAATTCTTCCTGGAGGTATCAGCAAGCAATAGATATATCCTGATTTCGGATCTAATCCATTATTATACTTTTCAGTATGTGTGATGTGTATAAATAATACATTCTTCCTTTTCTCCTAATTAAAAAAAAAAGATACTACTAAGGCAAAAATTATAACATCAAATTTTTCTTTATAATGTATATACATGCAATATATATGACAACAATAGCACAAACAATGGAGAGAGGGTAAATGGAATTATACTTTTAACATGACTAGTACATTTTTCTTGGAGTTTTATATGAACTCAAAGTAGATTTTGAAAAGTTAAAGATACCTATCATAGTCCCTAAGGAAATCACATAAGCACAAGATTCAAAGGGCTGTAGACAAAAAGGCAATAGAAGAAATAAAATAGAACCCTGAAAGAATTCAAATAATATAAAGGAAGGAAAGCAAGAAGACAGGAGTAAAATATAGATATGACAAATGGAAAACAAATAGCAATGTGGCATACCTACATCTAACCATGTCAGTTGATATATTAAAGATAAAAGGACTAAACACTCCAATCAGACTGAATAAATCAGCAAATACCAACTATATACCGTATGTGAACAACATACTTTAAAGGCTGCAAATAAGAGGATGGAAAAAGACATATCATTTAAGTGCTAATCAAAAGAAGCCACTAATATTAAAGTCAGATAAAACAGGTTTCAAGGACTTCAAGATCAAAGTTGGAGGACTCACACTTTCTTTCTTTCTTTTTTTTTAACACCTTTATTGGGGTATAATTGCTTTGGAGGACTCACACTTTCTGATTTTAGACCATACTAGAAAGGTACAGTAATAAAACAATGTAGTACTGGCTAAAGATATAAATAGTGTAAAAACGAGAGTTGAGAAATAAACTCTTACACTTATGGTCAACTGATATTCGACAAGGGTACCAAGATTATACAGCGGGAAAAGAAAAGTATCTTCAACAAAGGATGCTGAAATAAGTAGATATACACATGCAAAAGAATGAAGTTGGACCCTTACCTCATACATATATAAAAATTAACTCAAAAGAGATAAATGCCCTAAATATAGGAGCTAAAACCATAAAACTCTTAGCAGAAATCAGGGATACATTTTTATGACCTTTGGTCTGGAAATGGATTCTTACATATGACACCAAAAGCATGAGCAACAAAATGAAAAGATGGATAAAGTGAACTTCACCAAATAAAAAAAAAACTTTTCTACATTAAAGACATTATCAAAAATGTGAAAAGACAACCTACAGAATGGGTGAACATATTTGTAAAACACACATCTGATAAGGGTCTAGAATCCAGAATATACAAGGAATTCTTACAGCTCAACAACTAAATGACAAATCTGATTTAAAGTCAGGCAAAGCGACTTCTGCCGCCGCAGGCCCGCCCCGCACTCCGTGCCCCTCCCTGCCCCCGGCCTGAGAG